TGGGTTTCAATTATAATAAATGTAAGATAATGCATGTGGGTTATCATAACTTGAATTATAAGTATAATTTGGATGGGAATAACCTCAACAGCATCATAAAAGAAAGGAATCTTGGCGTATAGTTTTACCTACCTATTACGTACTTCTATGCATTCCAGGATTATATATAAATACACATATGGTGGCTGTAATGGAGTTTACATTGGCAAATCTATATGCCAATTCCACCTGCGAGCCTGTGAACATGTTGGAGTATCAAGTAGAACTGGAAAAAACTATCAAATTCACCATATTCCACAAATTCACACACATAGTGAAAAAAACACTTCGTTTTGATTACGAATTTCAAAGTCATCTCATCTGGATCATCTAATAGTGAACTTTTAATTAAAGAAAGTTTATCTATTATAAATGAATTCCCAACTTTAAATAATAACACAACTTCACTACAATTAAGTTTGTTCTGAATACTTGTATAACATTGTTGCATTATCCTATCCTTTGTTTATTTAGTTGTCTTTTATTTTATTTCATCCTTTTATTCTGTATTTTAATTACTTTTTAAAAAATGTTTAAACTTTATAAATATTTGTACCTAATAATCTACCCTGTTCAATATAGCTTGCTGAAGATGGAATATGTATATTCCAAAACATTCAAGAATTAAATGTTTGTTACTGTACACACACGTTGTTGCTGACATTATTTTGTTGTTCATCATTAAACTTCAATTCTCGTTGAATGAATCTGTTATCTAGTGTTAGCCTTGATTCTCAGAGATGTGTTTGAGCTATTAATGGAAATCAGCACTGCTTTTGTGATTTGTGTTATTAAATGATACTATTAGGATTGCAGCAACCATTCAGTGCTTGGAATTATTTGATGTTAAAAGCAAACTGACCTTGATTTAATAATTAATATGGTTTACTATGGTGAGAGAGACTGACACTAGAGAGAGGCAACAGTATTGAAACTACAAATGACTTTGTTAAAAACAATATTAGTATGTATGTAAAGCATGCTGTTGAATCAAACAAGGCACGTTTTGGGTGACAAAAGCAATGATGGCTAAAAAAATCTACGATGTTGAATCCAAAGATATGGCCAAAGACATCAAAGGGTAAAATCAAAATTTCTGATACTGGAATTCATGGAAGAGAAGAAATTATAGCATTAACCATCTACTTCACAAAGTTTAGTTAAACATCATTTCAAACCTGCTTTGTGTGATGTAAAATGAAGATAACTTTATCAATTTACTAATTACATGTTGCAAAGTGAATATATTGATGAAAAGTTTGCATTTATTAAATATTTCTTTGCATTTGCACTGGAAGCTAAATGTAAAGAGCTATCTAATATTATTGCATTAATGAAAATTGTTTCAGTACTGCTTGTAATCATAGCAGAAGCAGAGTATGGATTTTCAATAATGGAAAGGATCAAATCTGACAGGAAAACTTGTTTAAAACCATTTACTTTGAGTTATTTAATATGCATGAAACTGTGATTATTACATTGTTATTTTTTGGTTTTCTGATGCCACTAGGTACCCAGATGATATTAATTACATGTGTAAAGCTAAGCGAGTTGTTTCTGAAGTAGAGACTGATATTTTATATGCTTTCTTTGAGAGTGATATAGTAAGTGACTCTGTTTCAGATACATGTTCATCTGAATCTGAAGTAGGTAATTAAATTAAAAATTACCTACAATGATTATAAACTCACAGAAATCAAAATCTTAAACATCTTATTTTCGATCATATATATACACATATGTAACTAAATATAATCACTTATTTTTTTGTTAATATATATATATATTCTTACATTAACGTGGGTTTACCTGATACCTTTGGTCCAAATTAGTATGATTACTGTCAACTTGCAAGAATGAACACTGCTAGTTATATTCCCTCTCAGATATGTAATGTTTCTTGATTATTTTAATCAGTGTGACATCTCATTAAAACTAGTCATATCATACACTTGCCCAAGACATTTACGATTTGTCAGAAGTAACCTTTGGGTTGAATAAGTCAAACAAAGTAAAGGTCAGCTTGTATATCAAACAAATATAGTGACTAAACAATGTAAAATATACTAACCAGCCTACATGTTATTCCAACTACAGCTACTGGAGTCTGAGATGATTGGACAATGTCAAACAAGTTGTAGATTAAGGTCTGATTCTTATGGTAGCAGAAAAGATCAAATTCTTCAATAATAAAGATTAGGGATTTACATTCTTGACTACCTACAATAAAACAAATTAGAAATTAAACAATGAGGTATAACACATAAAAAGTTATAATTTTCCTACATAAACATTGTATTTTCGATAGATATTTACCTGAACTTCCATAATAGCTTTTCTCGACTAATGCTGCCCTCTGTATACTCAGTTTGTTTTACTTGCCACTAGCCTAGATACTCCCACCTAGCCCCACATGTTTAACATGATACAGCTGTCCTATAATATGTGACAATCCTCCACCAATTGGAGCATGACACACTCTCCTGGTGCAACTCTCTCCCCCTGGATTACAGAGTCTAACCTCACTCCGAGATTAGGCACCCAGAAAAAAACAACAGAAGTGGGGAAGAAAGGTGGGAAATGTGAATGGAAATAAGTACCTATCAGAAATATATTTTCTGTGTAGGAAAAATTATAACTTCCAATACAATACCTTACACCTCCATTCACATAATAGCTATAATCCCACACTGATCTGGTGGAAGGACTGATGCAAAATTACTTAGATGAGTTCCCTTCAGAATGCATCTAAAGACAACCCATGGAGTGTGACATCTCTGAGAAGAGGAAACACAATCATGGGAGACCACACCACATTTGAACCAGGTATATTCTTTGCCCTTGATGAATGGCAGCATTGCTAAATGGGTGACAAAGAGGCACAAATGATAATGAGCTGTACATGCACCAGGTATAGTGTGGCCAGGACACATTAGACCATGATCAGGAGATCAAATCCAGTCCAACCAGCAGAACCAGGAATAGAATATCCTGTCCATGCTAGGAGAAGGTCATCAACCAAGTGAAGCCACACATACCCATTGTGTAGAGTGGCTAGGGTGCATTGGACCATAATCAGAAGATCAACTTTGACCCAAAACTGATAGTACTGGGAATGAAATGTTGGGCTCACAGTAGAGGAGGTCCTCTTCCAAATTCAACTCAGGCTCATGAACAATAAGGGAAGAAGTACTTCTGTTGTGAGAACCCAAGCCATCATGTGTGCATACCAAACATAACCAATACCTGCCCCCCCAGGAACTGACATCTAGATGATGGTAGGAAGGAAGGTGGAATGTAACATGGAGGGTTAACCTAGTCCAAAATGTGGCACTGGAAATGTATCGTCCAGTCCATTGTAGAACTTCTATGCATGTTACAGGGTGGGTAGATGGGAGTATCAAGAGTAGCAGTGAGCAAAAAAATTGAGCACATGGAGGGCAACATTAATCGAGAAAAGCTTTATATAAGCAGAGGTAAGGTACTGTATCAGAAAAAAAAGTTCAATGATGATATATTGAAAGAATGATGCACTCACCACTAAATAAAATCCTAAACAGTATAAAGTACAGAATGATGTTTTAAATGTATCCTACAAGTATGAGATTAAAAGTATACTAAGTGGCAGCACAATAGCAAATATTTTAGTGAATACTTTAAGCAACCTTTGAATGCAACTTCCTTTCAAATACGTTTCTTTGTTTCTATGGATGTGGGTTATTCTGGCTTCCAATATCACTTGATTTGAACACTTGTGCCTTTTGTTTTCTTGGGGGTTATTCAACAGTAACCCATACACTACACAGGAGCTTAAGGATGCAGTAGCATTAAAGATGATAACTAAGAACTACAAAATGATTTGTTAATTTATATTTAAGTAAATAATAATAAAACCTTTCTCATCGTGTAAACTGTGTGAATAGTAACTATAATCAGGAGTTCATAACTAAGATCCACCACACAAACTACTTGTTTAATATCAGATATTCAATCAATAATGGTATTTACTTAAGACATTCTTGGTTTTTTCAAAAATGCAAATTAACTTTTCATAGTATTTCTCTTGTATAACTAAGATAATTCCTAAAAACATATTTTTCTCCTTTAGAAATGTTTTGTCTTTAGTGATGATTCAAGTTGATTTTATTAAGGAACATGCATTTCACAGGCCAGTACATGGCAATGCTGAGTGTTTTATAACTCATCTGTACAAAAAATTTTATATATATATATATATATACATATATACACACACACATAGTAATAACGATACAAAATAATAATTGAAACTCATTATGTGTAATTGAAAATCGTCAGCTCCCACAAAACAATAAAATTAAAATCTTAAATCTTAAAATGTAATACAATTATGCATAAAGACGAAAAAAACATACAGAAATTAACATAAAAAAACACGAGAATTTCATAACTGGCATATAACTGTATACTGGCATTGACAAGGTCCATTTTTCCAAATATAGACTAACATGAGTTAGAATCTACCATGCAACAACAGATGAACAAAATCAAGTCACTAGAAAGCCAGATTCAGGAACATGAAACCATAATATTCTGAACCTAACTACACATTCATTTTTTGTAGTCAATTGTGGAAAATTAGTTGCCCTGTAATGAAATAGAAAAAAGCATAAACAATCCAACCACAAGAATAAAAAGAGCAAAGAAATAATACACAAGATTCAAAAAAAGAATAGGTTCTTAAAATTAATTTCTCTTTCTTATTAATTAAATATTAGAAAGAACTGTTTTTTAGAATGTACACAAGTTTGTTTATCGCTGTACGTAGTAAAACTTTTATTTTGTGGATATTTATACTTCTGTACAAGTAAGTGTATTACATCTTAAGATTTCATACATGTACATATATACTAAATATATAAGTTGTCTCTCTTACACAAACTCTAAACTGAACTGTACAGCATCAGAAGGTAGTTAAAAAGAAAAACCTTGATCAAATTTAATTTTTTTAACTGTAAGGCATTAGCAGAGTTGTGAATTTACTTTATATTCATGTTATTCAGGTATACTGATAGCCATCAGACAGTCAAAAATGTATGCAATATAGCAGGTTCTGGAAATGTTAAGCAGAGGATATTGATTATGGGCAGTAAAGGAATAATAACTACACAAATGAACAAGCTAACAAAATCTTCATTCAGAATCATGAAGTATCTTTGTTAAAACACAGCTAGTCAGTATAAATTTGTTATGCATGTAAGTGAAAACCAATATTGGTGGAATTGAAAAGACCAGCAAATGCTTTGACTACTTGACAAACTTCATGGAGCTGAAACTGCCAAAGGGAAGGACAAAGAAAATGGTATGATCTTGGATAAGACACACAAAAGAAACTTTTGACCTTGTTTTCCATTCTGCTCATGTGTATACAACAAAATATTTTTTATCTACACATAATCTATGCAAACTATTTCTACATTTTACATCTAGTATTTCTTTAATATTTCTAGCACATCTTCATTTTCTGAGTACAGATGCTAGTGTAAGTTCAGACTATGACCAGAACTATCCTGAGTAGCTTTTGCACTACGGTACCACCCATCTTTTGCCTTTGAAGGATCAAATTGAGGAAGGGATGGTCCAAATAGATTAATTGTCATTAGATTACTCAGACTTCCACTTTCAAGTGAAGAGTGAAATATATTTTTAACCAGATTCATTTGACTGAATCCTCTTTCACAACTTGCTGTTGATATCAGCAAAACAGAAACAATCTTTGGTACATATCCTATGAGAGGGCCCACGAATTCTTGATACAGTTTTTTCCACAAGATCTTTTATCCTGACCACATATCTTAAATTCATTCCACTCTCTTAGCATATCCTGAATTAAACTGTGCTCATTTCTGCTCTTGCTTAACAGATTCTTATAATGAGATACAAGAATGACATTTCAGGTACACCAAATACTTCTAAATTTTATTTTGGCCAAGTGATTGCATTAAAAACCATTGTAACTTTTGCCACATTATTTGTAGCAGAATTTATGAACCTATCCTTCCCACTTCTTATCCCTGTCTGAATCAAGTCTCTTTTGTCTGTGTTCTATTTCGATCAGTTGTACATTTTTTAACATCCCATTCATTTAAATTCCTGTCATAGACTCATTCTCCATTGCATATGGGCAGTCCTTTGGTTCTTCAAGTCTACCAAATGATGACTTCACATGAAAGCATACCTCATGCAGAAGTATATCTGTCTTCTGAAAAGACAGAAACAAACTTTTGAACACCAACAGAAAGACCAAAAGAAAAATTCACATTGAAAACAAAACAAAACTCTTCATTCATATCTCTTTAGCTTTGCTCAAGTCTTCATTCATATCACATGTACAACTCTCCAAATGCATTGCTAAAGATGTCAAATTCACCACCACAGCTCTCATGGTTCTTATTTTGCTCACCATGTGTGTAATTTTTTGAAGTGTTAATAACTTCTCAGTGAGTACTTTTGCTGTTTCTGCCAGCTGCTGTTGCTTTTTGCTGGAATTGTTATAAAATTTGAAAAGTGATACAAGCACATTAGTAGGGTAACACATGGAGTAGTTTGGAATAAGGATGGAACTTTGGAGAGGAGTCGAATAGGGGATAAGCATAGATGTGAAGGCCCTCCAAACTTTACAGAATGCAACCACCCCCAGAGTTAGCAGGTGAGGAACAGGAGACTAAAGGGAAGGAAGATGGTGTTCCAGTGGGTGGCAAAGGCATATATGTGGTGTCTTCAGCTGAGAACACACCCACCTAACGATCTGTGAAACAAGAAACCACTCCGTGAGAAGAATCTTGTTGGGAGGAGATAATCGATCCACCACCAGATTCAGGGAGTCAGGAAAATTGCAAGCAATGACCATAAAGTGGTGATTGTGGACCCAGAAAAAGAGATCTGGGATCTGAAAACATAGAGACCTGAAATTGGTACCCCCTGGCTCTGTGATATAAGTGACCACGATGGAGATGTTGGAAAATATCATAACCACTTCCCCATAGAAGAGAAAGGAAGGAGGACAAAGCTCGATGAACTGCCAAAGGCTTGAGAATGGTGATATGGAGAAAAAAGTCCTTGATCAATCAGAGACCTGAAATCTCCCGAGAGAATAGGTAAGAACCCCCCAACCCTCTAAAAATGAGTTCATGAACAGATGTAAGTCCAGACAAGGTGAAATAAGGGGCACCCCCACCATA